ACGGGGCTACCTCTTTCATTTTGGTGTGAGGCTGTAAAATTTTGTAGAAATTTGATTGTGCTGGAAAGTTTCTCGCGAATCCCACCCTGGTAAAAAGACCTACGAATTTTTTTTACCAGCTTCAGTTTCAAGTCGCACTCATCCAAAGATAATTTTATAATCTTACCAAAAGTTTTACTGCCATATAATTCCTGGGTCTTTTGTGATCCCAGTTTTTTCAGGTAGTTTCTTCCTAAGATCGATTTCAATGCGTTGTCTGCGACGTGGATGTAAGCATTCTCAACCTGCCGACCAGCAGATTGTAGGTTCGTTACATCGTCCCATAGGTTGAAATGACCGATGAGCAAAGGTCTTTACTGCTGGTGGACTTTCGTCCGGATCATATAAAAATTTGTTGCACTTTCTAACACTTTTTCGGCAATTCATGTAGAGTTTTTTGTGGCCACGCTCCCGTTGTTTGCGATAATTATGAATTCCAGTTCGTTCCCCAATTTTGATTGAACTTTTTTGTCCTTCGATTAATTCATCAGTGGTTGCTCCCAGATCCTTATTATCCACGTGCTGTATCCTGATATTCAATGTTACAGGATAGTTCTTCCGTATCCGACCCAGGGTATTTGTTTCCCTTTTGAAACTTTTTTGTTGTTGGGCGTTCCTTTTGATTGACACACCCGTGCAAATTGGTTTTTTCCTCCACAGTTGCTCCATTTTTTTCAAAACGCGGCACACGAAGCTTTGGGATTGCTTGACCCTTGTAATCCGCAGCTGCCACATGGATTCGCACCTCTGTCCGCTGGTTTTGCGGACTAGATCCGCTACTCAAATAATTCGAATTGTTCTGGTTACTATCTAGGTTTGAATAACTTCTCTTCTCTCTTGAAGCAATTTCCCTGATACAACTCCGTATCTTGTTACACAATGTATCTTGTATTTTTTTGCCAGTTTACTTCTTTTTTATGGAATAGATTGCTATTTCTAGACCATGCGCTGGCTCCTATGTCTCTTTTAGTATTTTTTCTGGATATGTCTGTTTGCTATGTTTAGCGTAATGATATCTCGCAGCCATCTGTCTCCTGTTGTTCCGAGAATGCACACATGGGCGAGATCTTTTAGTGTCGCGTGATGTTTTGCACGATTCATAACTTGCTTGCTTCCTGGATTGTAAAACGAATACTTCGGAGGCCATATTAAGATGGGATTTGGAAGTATCTTCCAAAATTCTCAATAGTGGCATCGTTGTCAACCGGTGTTCCGTTATTTCCACGTTGGCAAATTTTTTTTGCAATTTCCTTTTCCCTTCTTCTCCTAATGGCAAGAAAATGTTGGATTTTCAGTGTCTATCCACTATTTCCCAGGGGATGTTATTATGGCACACGCCTATGACCTTGATTGTTTGGCACTCGTTTTCTCACCTGTGCAGGAGTGCGAAGTTACCTATTTCTCGTTCGCGTGTCGATTGTTGAGTCGGGTTCGCGTGTTCCGGCTCCTCATTTGGTTTGTCTGGTAACACTATATCTTTCGGTTTTTTCTTTTTTATTGCACTAGCTCCTCCAACAAAGATCCACGTTCACTTTGCTGAAAATGGTCGAAGTAACACCTGAATTGATGATCTTGCTTGTCAAATAAAGTAACAATATCCAGTAATCAAAATTGAATTCAAAAAAGAGTTCTGTTCTTATACACATACAATCTATATAATGCAATCACAATCTACATTGAACGACAAAATACAATTTCGAAGTAAAAAAAACACTTCAAACGTGACCGTTTAAGTTGCGCCTTGGGATGAAATAACGTAAATTTTACGAATCTAGCAACTACCGACAAGGACATGTTATGACCATCCAGTTAGCATGACTAATAACACTAAAACTACATGTTGCCTTATCCAGCTAGTGAGGCACTCCAGGCTGATGACATTGTTAAAAACTATAGAAAGTCGACAAAAAGTAAAAGTTTACCGCGGTGATTTCAATTATCTGGACAAACTAACAAATTTCAAACTTCAAAGGCTTTTTTTTCTCGAAATGGATTAAGATTTTCGAAATGGATTAGGACAATTAGTTAAAATTACACAAAAAATGAGTCTTTTCTGGTTTATTTTAGTTAATCAAAAGTTACGCAGAAACTACCTGAGCTAAAAAATGAGAAATTAAAAATGGAGACTTATTACACAGCCCAACAAAATTATATGAGAGTAAAATCTCTATAAAAATGCGCAAAACGTTTCAATTTTGTTTTTACGCATTGCTTTCGATTTTATTAGGAAAGAATGACATTTTTTGGCTATCAATCAGTAATATAATCTATTATACAAAACTTTTGAGATTTTACTATCCTATAGTTTTGTTGGGCTATATAGTAAATTTTTTATTTTAAAATTCATACAATTATACCGGTAGTTTCAGCGTAATTTTTTATTAATAAAAAAAGCGAAATTACACCTTGGTGGGTTAAAACTTTGGTTGTGATTTCCAAAAAATTTGCACAAAAAATTCTGATGAAATTTTAAGCCACTTTTCCTCTATCCAACTTTTGTCTAGTCCTAACCCAATTTGAAAACAACGCGTTTGAGTTTTTAAATTTTGTTCGTTGCTTCCGGTTATAATTTGAATCACCACTGTATTTCTAAATTTAGTTTCAGCATGAAGGATAGAATTATATCTTGTAACAAACTTATTTGGCAATGTGTTAAATTTGTGAAACAATTCTGACTTTCAAGCTGAAACTAAACAAATATAGTTCTTTAAATTGTCAAGTTTGATTTTTGTCGGCGTTTTTTGTGTTTCTACTGATTCGATTCTGCAGACTGCTGCTGAATGAGAATTATTTTGAAAGAAGTTAATGGTAAAAAGTCTGACCTCTAAGAACGCAATCGATTTGATTTGCTTTTTTGACAGCTGGATGTAATTTTGAAAATTCTTTCGCAATTTCAACTCTTAATCACTTTTTCAAAATCACAATTAATTCAGAAAATAAAACGTCCGATAATTTTATTAGAAGCTATAATTTAGGTTCCACAGAGCAATCCAGAAACCAGCAAAATATGTTAGTAGTGGTGAGAAGATAATAATTTTGTATTTCTCAGAAAGAGATTAACTTTTGTTCAGGTTGGTATACAATATATAGTGCCTAGATGCGAAATTTGTGTTTCGGAGAAAGAGAACCCCAACGCACTCCTAATAATATACTATCCAGAATTATGAGAATAAGGGTAAATTTGGTACAAGTATGATAGTTAGGTTCCTGAAATTACGGTGGGTGCCTAAAGAAAAATTTTTAAGCCTCAAAATTTTCGAAGTCATGTCTTGCAATTGTTTACTTGTGTTTTTGAAATATTCTCAAAACTTCGGAAGCCATTTTTCATACTTAGGATAAACTGTACAATTCCCTTCAAATCGAGTTGAGGGGCTCGCTAAACTACCGTTTTTCAGAAATTGACTTCGAGGACAAAAGAAAATGATCTAATTAGTAAAAGAAAAAACGCAATCGATACCAAGCCTGGGTTGACAAAACATGCTTATGCAGATCCTACAAATTTCATATATGAAGCAAATGTTTATCATACTCTTTCATACAATTTCATTGAGTAGAATTAGGTGTACGAAAATAGCAAAGTAAGCTTTTTTCCCATACTATAAATTTTTATAAAAAGCAATTTTTCCATACTCTGGAAATAAAATTTGAGCTTTTTCATCAGTATAGCATGATAAGCATTTAAGCATTTGTTCCATACTATGGAATTGTATGATAAGCATTTTTCCGTTCTATGAAACTGTATGACAAGCATTTTTTCCATAAATGAAAATACAAAAACTTTTTGTTTTGAAATTATCCGTTTCATCCGAAAAACTAACCACGGACTTTTTGTCATCAGAAAACCCGGAGTGTAACTGTCAATTACCACGCAGATAAACTGTATTTAGTGACTGTAGCCATTTGAGTTAATTTTAACTTGTTCACATAGAATTATGAACCAAAAATGTAACTTTTTAACTATGGCTAGATAATTTCTAGTTTGAAAATTTTGGTGGTTGAGAGAAAAGGCCTGTTTTTTTTACAAATTTATTTTTATTTTATAATGAAACAAAAAAATAATAGAAAATTTTTTCTGATTTTTGAATTTTTTGGGTAAAAAACTTATCCTGTACTACGTTATAATACAAAAAGTCAAATTTTGCATGCAAAATTGTTTTTCTTCAACTATATATTTGAGCACAAAAGCAAGTTTGCAACCAAAAAAGGACTTAAAATTTTTAAACTCAAATTCGTGTTTTTGTTTACGAAAAAATGTATATCATACAACTTTCATTTATAGTGAAAACTTTATGATAAGCATTTTTCCGAACAAAATTAAAGTTATGTTTTTGATTCAAAATACCCTCTATCTGAGATAAAATTATTTAAATCTTTTTTAAGTTATCCGGACACGTTTTTTGGTGATTTTCGACAATTTTATTTTTTCGATGACAAAATGATTATCTTAAAATTTCCATATATGAAGATTGTATGATAAGCCTTTTTTACCGAAAAATTTAAGTCATTTTTTATGACCAGAAAGCTTCAAAACAGGCAAATAGACCAAAAATGTTCATTAAAAGTTTTCAAAGCACTTAAAATATAGTATGAAAAGCATTTTTTCCAGACTTCATAAATGAAACATCATGATTGGCGTTTTTCTTCTATGGACGTCAACCCGGGAGAGGTAGATTATACGGTTGATCCTATAATTGCTTTTTCGGGTTCTAGGAGGTAAAAAAGATAAGACGTTGCGACGACAAGACCTTAAGACGACAAAACATTAAGACCACAAATATAAAGTAGTTCTTGCAAAATGAGCAGTTCGAATTTAAGGGGTTTAATTTTTTCAGAAATGCAATGTGGAGAATTGCGTCTAGCGTCGTCTTAAAGTCCCATCAAAAACGGTTGTCGTCTTAACGGGACGTCGTTCTATTTGCCGGTCACCGCTTTTTCGTGGAATCAAACTATCAAACTTGTACCGTAAATTTTGGTGTATGGTGGCCAGTCAATGATCAGAATGGCAGAGTTGTTTGACGATAGACGAGCGAAGTTTACTCAATAAAATTTGTTTGCAAGATAATTAAATGCTTTATCTGAACCATTTCATGCTTATTACTGCCGCACATGCACGATTAAAAAGGTATGAAACTTTATTCATAAAACGAAAGGACTATACAAATAATTTTTACCGCATAGTTATCTGGTAAAACTTCAAATAGTTATATGTTTTGCTTCATAAAGCAAATAAAATATCTTTTTCGCTTCTCAAACTCTCAATGCGATTGATTTGTATAGCTTGTAAAATTATATATAATTTTTAATAAACTTATTGCTATTGAGGAAGTGTACGGTTTGATCCTTAAGAAAAAACGAAGAATGCTGTAGGTTTAATAAAAAGTTTTCTCCAGCTTCCTTCATAAGCTTGCTTGCTTCGATAAAATTTGTATACATAGTTTGCTGTGCGAAATGGAATATGATTTCTCAGAAGCAGTCTGAGGCGGAAACACTGAAATAAGCGTAATATTTTTGCGGTAGTTTTTTGTGCACACAAAGGAAACCTACTGCGAATTATTCAGCCGACGTATAAACTAGCCGAAAATGGGGAGGGTTCTCATGCTTGAAGGACCGAATGCTTGAAAAGTTTCAACCAATCAAAATCGCTAGGCGTTCCTATTGGCTAAATGCCTTTTTCACAAAATCGAAGTCAATTTTAACAGAAAATATTTTAAATCAGTGGAAAATAATCAAAAATATTACAAATTGCGGGTTACAACCGCAATACTTATCAGATAAATATCAAGTTTTATGAGTTCAAGTTCATGAGAATTTTTCAGTGTTAAAAACTCATCTGCTTATTATCTAATCGGTCAGTATTAACGCTAATGGCCTGGATTTATTTTCTTACTTTGAGGTTTTCACGATTTACTTTGAGCTTTTGAATACTCAATTCTGATTGGCTGAGAGTAAGCTAAAATAAATTTCAAGCATTCGGTCCTTCAAGCCTGAGGGAGGCCACCGCCGAAAATGTGCAGAGTATATAAGGTGGCGTCCCTCATGCTTGAAGGACCGAATGCTTGAAATTAATTTTAGCTTACTTTCAGCCAATCAGAGTTGACTATTCAAAACCTAAAAATAAATCGCGAAAATCTCAAAGTAAGAAAATAAATCCAGGCCATTAGTGTTAATATTGACCGATTAGATAATAAGCAGATGAGTTTCAAGACTGAAAATTTCTCATGATTTTGAACTCATTAATCTTGATGATTATCTGAATAGTAATGCGGTTGTAACCCGCAATTTGTAATGTTTTTGATTATTTTCCACTGATTTAATACATTTTCTGTTAATATTGACTTCGATATTGTGAGAAAGGCATTTAGCCAATAGAAACGCTTAGCGATTTTGATTGGTTGAAATTATTCAAGCATTCGGTCCTTTAAGCATGAGAACCCTCCCCGTATATAAGCAAGCCGAGAAAGTTACGTCATCAATAAAACTTGAAATACTTTCGCAACTGCTACATAATTGAGATCTTTGACTATTTCCTCCCTTTTGCACAAACGGTGGGGTATCCGTTACTATGTTCAAAATTTCATGTGCTTAACCGTTGAACTATTGGAGATTTGTTATTAGGTATCATAAGTGGAGAAATAGTTAACGAGATCCCATAATTGTTACATGAATAGTATTCAACATTAACGTATTTTTTGCTGATTTATACTTTGGTTGGTTTATAGACCACCACAAAAACCCTTTCGAACAGAAAGACGATGACGGAAAGGTTGCTCCAGCCACGGAACGTCGGAAAAGCAACGTTTACTTTTCAAGCGAGGAAACAAACAAAGTTTTTTAAACGTTTTTGGCGTTGCTTTCACATTAACTAGAAATTCAGGGATGAAACTTTGACATGTCATTGATGAAATTGATATTTAGCTTATCGCTGGATTAAAAAAACCGTAGATCGGGGTTCTTAGGGCGTCGATTGGCCAGTTAATCAGAAGGCGTCAGAGAAGTGTCATAAGGTCCAAACAGTCCCCGTAAAAAGCAGAAGCAGTTTAAAATTCAGGGCTTAGAGTATTTGTTGGAAAGCTAAGCATCTTAGCTAGGCCCTCAAATAGGCATTTCTGTGAATGACAACGAGCCGGGTCTGATCCAGACAGTGACGTTAGTAGGCAATTATGATAGACATTAAAGCGAGCGAACACAGCAGAAGCAAAGCGACCAGTCAGAAGACAACTTTTGGGCAAATAAGGAGTCACTATTTTTTACAGCACTTAAAATTATTGTGACGACCTATGAAGAAAACGTAACAAGACTGCTCGTATCAGGGCAATGCCCTGAATGTTTCGGCTGCCTTTTAAGGTTTATGGAGTAGTAGTAACATAAAAAAAATTACATATAAAAAAAGATAAAACGAAAATTTTTCTTTATAAAATTTGAAATTTTTTTATGAGATCATCCCCCACACGCCATATAGAGTACAAAAGAATAGATTTCACCCCTTGTAACAAAATCAATTATGGCGAAAAAGCTTCTTTCAACCAATTTGGAGCGATTTCTAAGACGGATTAACTCTCCGCTTATGCGTTAATAGCGCGAAATATATCGCGCGTTAATTGTCACAAATTGGCCGAAATGGCAATCTTTAAACCCCCGTAACTTTACGGAAAATGATCACAGGGGAAATATTTTTTCAAATTTGAGCTCAGGACAACAATGCTTTTCGAATGATACAAAAAAAATTCCGTCAAAAATGGCCAGTTAAAAAGTCGAAATTTGTCTGAAGAAAAAAAACCCACCCCGAGCACCAATATTCCGTTACTTTCGTATCGAAAGTCGGAACAATAATTATGCTTGGGCCAAATTTTTGTTCAGTCAATTTTCGTCTTTTACCTACGCGTTTTCACAAAGTTTGTTTATATCTTTTACAAGGTATTGTTTTTCTGAGCTCAAAATTAAAAAGATGTTTCACCCGTAATTTTTTTGTAAAATTACGGGGCTTTAAAAATTGCTCATTTGGCCAATTTGGGATAATTAACGCGCCAATTGCATTCTTATAACACGCATAAGTGGCGGATTTTTCCGATCCAATTTAAATTGAGGCCAGAAATTTAGCCTTATCAAAATAGTACGGGACACTAAATACGCTTTTTGATGAACAAAGAGAAAAAAAAAACGTTTTTGTTCCGACTTTCAATACGAAAGTAACGGAATATTTGTGCTCGGGTTTTTCAGACAATTTTTTGACGGATTATTTTTATATCACTCAGTAAATATTGCTGTCTGAGCTTAAATTTGAAAATATATTTCACCGGTTATCAATTTTGTAAAGTTATGGTGATTTGAAGTTTGACATTATGGCCAACTTGGGACAATTTATTGCGTGGTATATTTCGCGCTATTAACGTGTAAGCGGAGATTTAATGACTCTTAGAAATTATTCTAAATTGGTTGAAAGACGCTTATTTGCCATATTTGATTTGTTACAAGGAGCGAAATCTATCCTTCTGTTTTGTATATGGCGTGTGGGGGGATGATTTTTCTAAAAAAAACTCAGAATTGAGAAAAAAAGTCATTTTTAATTTATTACATTTAATTTTTAAGTTAATACTGCTCCATAAAACTTAAAAGGCAGTCGGAACCTTCAGGGCTTCGCCCTGATACGAGCAACGAGCAGTCTTGTCTTTTTTCGATAATTTTGTCAATTATTCAACCAAAAAATGTTTTTAGTGACTATACGAGTAGTCTTGTTTTCATTCGATTTGACGCCAAGCAAGGTGTGAAACGTAAACAAGTTACTCGTTTACCGCCTAATCCGTTACATTACCCGCCAAAATGCCTTTGTCTCATTTGTTTCGCTCGATTTCAACTTCACTCTCTAGATCAAACCCGTCTCTTTGTCTTTCACCGGCTTTTATTTTCATAAATCGTGAAAAAATTTTGTTCATTTCATCGCTTGAAAATTTAAAAAGGCAAATTCTATTACCTGTGACTGTATGTAAATAAAATGACAGGACATTAAAACAAAGACATTTGTAGACACAAATGAGAAAATTTGTAAGAAAAAAATGAGCGTATAGCCTGTGTCGAGGTGCTCACTTTTTGTCTCGATCAAAATCCGGTATGTTTTGACCGTGCTCGACCCATGCAAAATATGTTTCAACCGTGCTCGACCAAAAAAAAACGTGCTCGCCCAAGTAAAATACGTTTTGACTGTCTCGACTACAAAAAACTAAGACGGATTAAATATCGCTTACGCGTTAATAGCGCGAAATATATCGAGCATTTATTGTCCCAAATTGGCCAAAATGGCAATCTTTTAAACCCTCATAACTTTACGAAAAATGATCACAGGTGAAATATCTTTTCAGGTTTAATTTCATGACAAAAAAATCTTTTAAATGATATTAAAAAAATTTGTCAAAAATGGCTAGTTAAAAACTCGAAAATTGTCTGAAAGAAAAAGAACCCACCCCGAGCACAAATATTCCGTTACTTTCGTTACGAAAGTCGGAACAAAAATCATAACCATAATGGATCACTCGAGTAGAAATGCTTGAATTATGTGTCGACCGTATCGGTCCATAGTGGTCTGCTCTCAACTTTTTGAATCGAACGAAGTCCGTTGTCGAGCTTAGTCGACTCTAACCATTTTGGGTCGACATTGGTGAATTTTTCTGAACCTCATCGACCTTGCATCTAAGTTCTTTATAATTTTTACTAAAGGTTATAATTTGTTGCTATTTTTATAATTTGTTGCTATTTTATAAGTGGTTGCTATTTTCATAATTGGCTGCTATTTTTATAAGTGGTTGCTATTTTCATAATTGGTTGCTATTTTTATTATTGGTTGCTTTTTATGGGTCAAAACGGTAACTTGAAATAAAACTTGTCTGGAGGAAAAAAAAACTCGGCCTACATATTTACAGGTGCGGATTTAAGATTTTCTCGACATTACTAGGCCAAACTGGGTATTTTAAAAATTTTAAGCGGATTTTCTCGGAAGGGGTGGGCGAAATTCATCAAAATTGCTGCCTTGCAGTCTAATGCTTGAAAAAAGAAGG